CCATCTAACAGCTCTTTAATTCGCTCAAACGTTTGCTGTGCCTCTTCCGTCCACATGAATTTTGCGTCACTCAGCAACGTACATAGCGGTTTTGCTATCTCATTGAAATTTTTGACAAATCGGCTGTGGAATGCCGCTCTTCCCAAAAACTGTCTCAGCTTTCTCTTTGAATTTGGCACTTCGCTGGTTTTGGCCGTCAGGATTTTCTCCGGCAATGGCCGTATTTCACCATTTTCCACTTTGTAACCCAGAAGGACAACCGTGTTTTTAGCTATTTGTGACTTTTTCTTATTAATCCGCAGTCCAAAGTCATCAATTCTCTTTAAAATAGCTTCGATGTGGTCTATATGGTCGCTTTCCGTCTCACTATACACCACCAAGTCATCTCCATATACTTCTACGTTCTTCAGACCCTTCAGCAATAAGGTCATTAATCTTCTGAATGTAAATGGGGCACCTACCAATCCAAATGGCATTCGTTTAAACTGGTATTGTTTCTGCCCAACTGTGAAAGCTGTTTTACTTCGATCACTTTCTGCTATTGGGATCTGCCAGTAACCCGATCGTAGGTCGAACACGGTGAATAACTTGGCTTTATGAAGGCGATCAAGGGTTTCTGTTACGGTAGGCATTGCACACTGTTTTACTTCGGTGAGGCTATTCAGCTGTCTGAAGTCGACACAAAATCTATATTTCCCGTTAGCTTTCTTCACCAAAAGGATTGGCGAACTGTACGGACTGTCGGCTTCTTCGATTATTCCGTCGTTTAACATTTCTCTGACTTGTTGGTTAACTTCTTCTTCAAGGTGAACCGGAACTCGTCGCGATGAAAAGACTGTCTTCCCCGGATCCTTCAGTGGGATGTTATGCTTTAGCTTATCACAATAACCGTATGGGTCTCCATCACTAGTGAATAAACCGGCATATTTACTCATCAACGTGGTTAGACGTGGTGCATCTTGCGGAACGATGGTTGTGGTTTCCACCTCAGCGACTTCACTCACCACAGTACATCTATCCTTGTATCGAAACTGAATTTACCAAGAAAGGCTTAATGCAATGAGAAATTGTTTTTTTTTCACACATAAAGATGGTTTTAACTTCCTTAATAGCTTAGACATTCCACAAACTTTGGGAATACATCACCCCCTCCCCTCAACACATTTTATAGGTAGATCTAAAAGATGTTTAAACTTATTGATGGTGATAATGGATGATCTCACTGTTCGTTTGCGAAAGATTTTATAAGTACAGGGTGGAAATTCGGTGATTATTTGTCTTTTAGACGTGTTGTGGACGTATTCTAAAGTTTATGGAAGTTTTAGAGATTAGGAAGTTTAAATCATCTTTATATGTGCAACAACAGCTTGTCATCATATTAAACCTTCTTTGGTAAATTTTGTATAGATATCAGGATAAATGTGATTACATTATCTGAAATGTGTTACGCAAATACGTGACTCGATTTGGATAAATTAAGTTTTCTTATTGGTATGTTCAAATTGACAGAGAGAACTAACTGTTTCAGATCCTTAAAAAGACAGTCTGTGGAATAATAAAGATGATTCTTAGTGACTGAGATGACTTTTTGATAGGTCTTTTGCGAAGTACAAAAATAATTAAGGAGTTCAGTGGTCTCTGGGTGTACCTGTAGCAAGTAATCTTCTGGAGTTTACCACCACAGATTTTTTTTCAATCTAGCGTTTGTCAACATAATTGGTGGATGGTGACTAGCGGTGGAATCCAGGATGCGCATTTCATCCTATTTGTGACTCGTCAACTGGATGTACCTGCATTTCTCAGTGAGTCCCAAATAGAAAGAAATGCGCATCCTGGATTCCACTGCTAGTCACCATACACCAATTAAATACTAATTAAATGCCCAGACATCGTTGAAGCATCTGCTCAAGAAGCCGACATGTCAACCTGAGACCGAACGCTTCAGTCCAATCAATCGACGGGAAAATCTAAAATTCAATTAAATGTTTGTCTACAGTCCTCTGAAGAAATAAACCATGGAATAAACAGAATAAAGTCACATCGTATAAATTGTTGATTACATACTTTAACTTTACATTTAATTGTTTTAATATTTTTCACTCAATTTTGATTTTCGCGGTGTTTGATTGAACTGAAATATTCAAAACTGAATTACTGACTGACTGGTTTCAACATAGAACTCTGCACAATGTGCAGCAGGTCGAGTCGTCACACCCCCTCCATGTAGCTCACAAAGCAACAGAAGAGAATAGAGGGAGATTCCAAGCAGAGATAATAAATAGAAATAAGGGGAAAAAGAATGGTGATATGGAAGAGTGATATAGTTTTATTGGATAAGTCACAAGGGGTGAATGCATCTGCACCAGCCATTGAGAACGATTTTGAGCCATTTCACCAATTTTCTTCAGCTCCATCCCAAACCACAACCAAGAAGTCTACACCTCCCTATGTGGCTGAATGTCTTAAACTAACTATTGTGGATCTCGTTGACTGATGAGACCACCACTAGCCAACTCTTTTCCAACCTGATCCATCCTATTTCAACTAACATTGCCCATTGTTGAGGAAGGTGATGGCTAGGCTAGACATGCGCAACAAATGTCCTAACCATCTCAATCGATGTAACTTCACAGTCCCATCTACTGATTTCCCCTCCTTACCTACCACTTGACCGAAGCCTAACCTCAATATTGCTCACCTTGTTAAACCACTTCATACGGGAGATAGAACGCAGGCACTTATGATCGAGGACATCTAGCCAGGCTTTTCATGTGTTCCATTTTCAATGGCCATATCTTGATCACAGCCACAAAGGAGGACGGAATAGACTACTGAGCAGTACACACGCCTTTCGCTTGATAGACAGCCGGATATGATGTCTACTTCATAGATGGCATAAGTTAGCATATACCAAACGAACCTTCCGTATGCGTGATGGGATCTCGTCAGCGATCATCCCCCCACTTCACTCCCTATCTTTAAGCTAGGAATGAGTCAATGTAGTCCAGTCCTGTAGCATCATCTTACATTTGGCGGGAGCGAACCGCATGCCAAACATTCGCAAATTGCTGCTCCTCAGGGTGTTCAGAAGACTCTGCATTTTCTAAGTGTCTCTATCTAATGGGGAGGATTGTATCATCTGCATACTGGAAGACAGAGAAATCATGAAAAAAACCCAGATAAGCCCTCAAAGCTTACTACTCAAATGTGTCTACAATTAACAATCATATTAATTTACATTGAATCGATCAATCAAAAGGTTAAATGTTAGGTCAACAAAATGTTTGTTACCGATACAGGTGAATACAAAAAGAAGATAATCTCTGGGGACAGCTAATCACAATCAGGGTTATCAAAAAAGAATATAATTTCACTCATTGAGAACTTCAGCAAGCTTATTTTATTTTGAAGGAGATGCTGAAGATGTCTAGTAGAGAATAACGATCGTTTCGTAATTGAAGTGAGTGATTTTGGACTACATCAATATTCGTAGACAAGGCTGCTTACTATCGTAGATAATATTCCTTATTGTTGTGGACGGGTTCATTCAGCAGACCGTAGGGAGCGAGGAGACAACACGTTGGACTGACAAGAAGACTTTCGAATATATGGACTTCATGTATGACTTATATCTAGTGTCACACAAACTAGAAGACCTACAGGTGAAAAAAATTTCTAAGAAGAGGGAGGCAGAGAAGATAAGACTTCAAGTGGACACTGAGAAGACGGAGGTGATAAAGGTTATCTACCAAGAACAACAACAGTAGGAATTTGAAGGAAGTCACTTCTTCCACTTATCTAGACAGCACCATTTCAACTACAGGCGTCGTGGATGAGGATGTCAAAACCAGGATCAGAAAGGCAAGACAGATTATCGTTAATATGAAATCAATCTGGCAATCTACTGCACTCAGCATAAAAAACTAGATTAAGATTTTCAACACTAATGTCAAGTCAGTTCAGGGACTTGGTGCGTGTGTCACGAAAAGCATTTTCAGCAGAATACTGTAAACGTTTATCAACAGTTGCCTTCTCTGACTCCATAGTGAAGATCAGGTGGCCTACCAGATAAGATTAGCTACAAGGAACTGTATTAACGAACCAACTAAGAACTTATTGTTCAACAAATATGCATAAGAATATGGAAATGTATCGGACACCCTGAGGAGATCATTGGGTGACATCACTCTCTAGTCTGTCAAGTGTAACCCTAGTTGCAAGTGACTAGTTGAGCTGCTGAGGCTGAAATGGGGGAGATCGTGTGTGTATGTGGGCAATTATGTGGCCAGCTGAGGAGAAAACGCAGAAGAAGTTTAAATGGAGATGTGGTGTTGAAGTCCTATGTTCCACCCGAAACCCAATGGAATAATAATAATAATAAATACATCAATATCCTTGAATAGATGCTTCCTAAAGCGCTAATGATGCCAAAGTGTATCGTCTTTGTATTCTGTCTCATTAAATCGACCAGCTGAGCTGAATACACAATGAACTGATTGCATTCTTCTGTCGCTTACCTCACACTTCTTGTCAAATAATAATAATACTATTAATAATCAGAATACGTTGTCTTTTCGAAGATTAGAATACTTATAGAATAAGAAGACGATAAAAGTACAGTATTTCTCTATTCTTTTTTCTTCATAAAAGTTTAAAACTACAAATTGAAAACATACATAAATACATACACATATATAAATATAAACATATGAATTAAATATTATTAACATTTGCTTAGTTGTACTTTGCTCTGATTAAACTTCTTCAAGATGCTGTTTTATTTTTTCTAATGCATAGAATGAATCTTTGCAGAAAGTGTTTATTTCTCTGCTCTACAATGGATTTCAGCTGGTGACTAAATCTGTCTGTGAAAAATGGCAGTTATCTTCCCTATTATTGCTGGTTGTCATCAGTTATATCTGTGTATGTAGGAAGGCTTAATTAATTCCTATGAATCGATGTATGAAATTAAATTATACCAACAGTATTTTTGTTTTTAATAACCAAAAAGAAAATACATAAATTTATACAATTTTTAGAATTTATCACTGGGTTTAAATATTTTTAAAAAATTACTTCCATTACATATTATAATCTGACTGCTGGATAGGTGTAGTAATGTTATCAGTGAGTATTGAAACAGGAATCCATGAAATGGTTTTTGTATTCTTAAACTGTTCATTATTCTCACTGCAGCCGCCGCCACCATCGCCATCGCCTCCATCATCACCGTCATCATCTCCTAATCCTCCTTTATGATCTGTTCTTACAGGTAGGGTAACATCGGATGAAGCAATTGGTTCTAATCTTAATTCATAAGTGGTTGGTAATTGACTCCCTGGTAATTTTGTAAGCAAATTTGGAGACGTATTTGCTGTTGTCATTGTTGTTGTTGTTACTGTTGTCGTCAGATCTTTAAATGATTCTAATACTGAACTGACAGCAAATATACGAGTCGGTGTTGTAAACTCACTGTTTTCACTGTGATGAAGAATTAAGTGTGGACCATGAGTTGGACATCCTCTGGATAATGTACTAACAATCTAAAATATGAAAAAAAATAAAAAATGAATTTCAGATTATGCGATTTGTGGGGGCTTTTCAGTACATTTCAACTGTTAGATTTTCGTCACAAAACAACATCATTTAGAGAATTCACTGAAAATCAGGAGGCGTTTGAAACTATTTCGTCTTATTTTGCGGCTCCTCAACAGGACGTACCTGCACACCTACGAACCCACCAGGAATCGAATCTAGTACCTTCAGGTTTGGATACCAAGCTCGTTAACCATTCAGCCACTTAGGCTTGAATCCATTGGACCCTGAATTCTCGCTTTGTCAATTCGTGATATAGCGCCAGCCTCAATCAATGACTTTGATAAGCATCCACCTTATCTTGACAAGAAGGACGTCACTGGTCATGACTTTCACCACAGCTTTTGAAAGCACAAAGAAAATCGCCTTACCATATATAAAGGATATCTCAGAAATCACTACAAAACTCTTCAAACCTTTAGGAATTGACGTCGTACACAAACCAACAAAGTCACTTCACTCAATTCTATGTCAACCAAAAGATTCAACAGCAAAAGTAGATAAAACCAACATCATCTACAAAATAAATTGTATCAACTGCGAAAAACACTACATTGGCGAAAGTGGACGTCCCCTTCGTCTTCATATCCACGAACGTACGCTAGCCTTCAAAAGACATGATATCCACTCCCTCATATCACTACATACAGACAACCACGGACATCAATTCGACTGGGACAACGTTCAAATATTAGACAGAGGAAACAACAAGAATGCTAGAGAATTTTTAGAAGCTTGGCATTCCAGTGAATCATCAATCAATAGACACATCGAGACAGACAAAATTTATCAACCGATAAGAAAGAAACCTCACATACAAAGGGTCAAAGTTCAAGTCAAAGAAACAATGATTGACAATACAAGTAACCTAGAAGGTGTGAAAACACACAAAAACAACCAACCACATCCAAGGTCACCAGGAGAGATGATTAATAAACTCGTAGAGAAATCTGATAGCTCACTTCAAATTGAAGTATGCGCTGAAGATGTCGCCTAGTAGGGTGATGAAAGCTTCGCAAATTAACTATCCAGCTCAGAGAACACAACCATATCAAAATCATCCACCTGAGCTACAAATCTTCTCAATCATATGGTGAATATCCATCCAGCAGGCATCAATGAGCTGTCAACTGATTTTCACTTCATGAAATTTGTAGGAATTTCAGGACTAACCTCAGTTACTAAATTTTTCGTCATAAACCAGCATCAGTAAAAGAGATCATTGGAAACAATATCAAGGTAAAGTGGATGCTCGTCGAACACACTGGTAAGAATAGCGCTATATCAAGAATGGACAGAGTTAGAATTTACAAGTCGCTAAATTCTGGACCAAGTGGCTGAATGGTCAGCAAGCTTGGTCTCGTAACCTGAAGTTCTCAGGTTTGTTCCTTAGTGGGGTGATTGGTGTGTACGTCTGAAGAGTCCGTAAACAGTAGGAAATAGCTTTCTCTCAGTTTTAATGGTTCTTTAACTGATATCAACCTTTGACTGAGATTAAACTATGCTCAAAATAAAGTTTTGCATTTGTAAAACATTTGGAAGAAGGGTTAGTTTGATTCAAATATGATATTCTCTTATTCACTGACTTCATAAGAAATGAAATAAAAATAAATTAAATTACAAATATATGAAAAGAATGATCAGACAAGGTTATAGTAAATTATACATAATACAGTGAAATAGGCTGAAACAGTCTGACTCTGATTTTGTCAAAATAGAAAAACTTATGAAAAAGGTGGAGAGTTCTATCGAGTAGTCAGTCAAATGTTAGTTAACATTCAATACTACTTCAGCGAAATGATACGAAATAAATAAGGGTAGAAAAGAGGCAAGTTGAATTAAAGTGGTTGTATGTTATATGTGAAGTGGACAGCTTGAATTGTATTGGTGGAGGATGTTAATCACATAGTTACAAACAAGACTTACATCTGTTCATCACATACCACTCAACTTTCGACAATGTCTAAGCTTATTTCTGCTAACTTTATGAATAACTTTGCCATATATATATATATATATATATATATATATATATATATATATGATCATGGCTTCCCACATTCTTCTGACCAGTGCTGCCATTTAAGTCATACCCAGTGCACTTAAACGTTATACATATTATCCTACCATTCTTCATCAAACCTCAGTCTTTCTCGCCACACTTTTTGTCTCCCCATTCTTAAGTAATTATTGCTAACACGTGATTACTCGACAAAGCTCTCCACTTCTCACGTGAAGTACCGAACAATCAATTCAATAACAACCTGTCCCACTTTATTTTACATATATATTTTAACCTCTTTTGTGGTTATTTTGTTCGTGAATTTACTACTTAAGTTTGATATTTATGTGTACTTTTAAATTTTCAAGTATTGGTTTTGTAGGGATTTTGTTTGATTGTGAAGCCGTGACCAGTGGGGTACAGCAGGTTGAAGATGAGGCAGTAACTCGTCGAAGAAGATATTGCGAAATGGTCACGCCATGTCGTGAATTGGCAGAAGTTAGAATTCAAGGACCATTGGATCGGGTCCCACTGGTTCAATGGTCTACGAGCTCACTGGCCTTGTGACCAGAAGGTCCTGGGTTCAAATCCCGTTGGGTGCGTACTGATGAAGAGTCCCAAACTAGGACGAAAAAGCTGTCCAGTACTCTCAGGTTTTCCAGTGCTTCTCTAAGTGATGTCAGCTCATGATGAAATCCTCCATAATTTTAAGTTATCATTTACTATTAAATAATGTACCTTCAGATAGATATTTTTATATTTCAAGATAAACGGAGGTTTAGAATAGAATTTAGATACTATGACTCATAGGTCCTAGCTGTGTTCTTTATCCGAAGATGGTGTCTGTTTAGGGGAATACGGGATTTAGAATAATAGTTGAAAGTCCTGTAGAGTGTAGTTAACGAATAAATTGCGTGTTATGTCTTTCAGATTTTTTTTATTCATTAACACTGTTTGAATGGTCTTAAAGTGAACTCCTCTAAATATCAAAGTATAAATTTTAGTTTCAGGCTCAAACAAGACTTGCGTGGACTGATTCATTTGCGTGATTCTTGTGATATCGAATTATTGCTCATCTTTGTGTCATTTTCACTTTTAATTTTTGTTGATCATCATTTGTCTTGTCGATTTCTATAAAAAATTGTTCGTTGGACTGACAACATAAGGATGTTGAGTCTGTGTGGTATAACTCAAGCTCTTCTCTTACAGTTTATTAATTCATGCATTCTACCCGCTCTTCTTTGTTGTTTCTCCTTATGCTTCCATGGGTGCGTTGGTGGCACTGTGGTAGAATGCTGGCCAACCACGCATGTGGTTCTGGGCTCGATCCCAAACCGACTCACTCCTCTACCTCGCTAAGCCAGTAATAAGACTGGTGAAGAGGGAAGGTTAGGCATGAGGCTAGCAACTCTATTCCGTAAAAAAAAGTATAACACTACTGCTACCCAAACTTCAAGCCTCAAACTTGAAGCGCTATGTTTCACTGGGAACGCAAAGGAATAATAAAATGGTTCCTTGGGCTTCTCAAAAGAAACTGTGTTATAGTACTTAGGGCTTTGAAGGCTGTGAGCAGGGTTAGTAGTATGCCTTTGACCCAGCTAACTGAAATTGCTGTTCATGAGTATTTTAATTCTTGTAAGCAATTGGCTAAAGTCATGTTGTCTGATACTGAACATCCCTTTTCATAAAAAGTTATAGCTGTACTGCTAAATATAAAACTTTGTTATTATTATTTATTTTATTTTATCACTTTACGTTCCCAGTGGAACATAGCGCTTCAAGCTATAGGCTTAAAGTTTCGGTAGCAGTGGTGTTTTATTTTTGCGGGATGGGGTTGCTAGCCCCATGCCCAACCTTCCCTCTTCACCAATCTTATTACTAGCTTAGCGAGGTAAAGGAGTGCGTCGGTGGGGGATTGAACCTGGACCACCTGCATGGTTGGCGAGCATTCTAACACTATGTCACTGACACAACCATACCAAATTTAGAGCGGGTGTTGTGTGAAGAGACAAATGTCAGAAAAGGGCTTACAAACCTATTTTATATTCTGTAAATAAATAGTAAATTATAACCAGAAGCACTATTACACATTCTATACTTCCAATTACTTTCAGTTTTTGTAGTCTTATTATTTTTTATATTTAATTAATTTTTTTGTGAAAGGAGAAGAAATCCATTCTGTATACAAATCACTGTCTGGAATAAAGTGATTACTATTATGATTATCACTGTTATTATTCTTCTATGCATTTTCTCGTTTTAAGAGGTATAATTTGGTCAGTAATAACGGGATTAAATATAATTCTGGATAAGAAGGGAATGTCAGTCAATGGGGTTGTGAAACTGCATCAGTTGCGATGGATAGGATATGTATTACGCATGTCCAGCTACCACTTTCCTCGACAAGCAGTGTTAGAATTTATGGGATTAGGTGGGAAAAAGAGTTAGCAGTGGCTAGACCAAAGCATACCTCCAACCTACGAAAGTTTAAAACATTATCGATTCGAAACAAACAGGGAGGTGAAGATTGCGAGGTTGGTGCCCTTGGGATGCTAAGATCTATTGGTTAGAGACTGTTACTGATATGGTTTAATTAAGTTCTAAATAGTTCAGATGCATTCACTGTTTGTAGTCTTCTAGATTCGCTGAATCTTCATTATTCTTCAGGCTACTTAATTTTTTCCCCCAGCAAATTCCCACTTATTATAGTTTCTTATATCTACCTTCATGTTTGCTTCTACGAAGTTTGACAACTTGAACTTCTGCTCTTTTTATACAAAGTTCTACAATGAAGATTCAGTCCACTTTCCTCAGTGAGCTGTCATTTTAATGTCAGTGTGTGGGTGAATGTTTTAAGTCTTTGAATACAGTAGTCAGTACCAATTCACGATCGTTTTTTAATGATTAAATGATAACTAGTCCTAGGGAACTGTTGTACACAGCAAT